GGGGTGCCAAAAGTTGCGCTTCTTGACTTCTAAAACATCACAAACCCTTTCCCCTTAGAATCCTACGTGCAACATGTCGACACCTCAGTTGCGGTCGGATTTCCACACCTGAAAGCCTTATATATATTATAGATTTAAACGGGTGTGGAAATCTGACCGTGCTGTACCTGCCACGCAAAATGGACGTGTTAATCCGATCCGCTGTAGACTGCAAGTGTCATGTTGGAACAGAGTAAGAAGCGTAAACTTTAGGGTTCTTGAAGTATAATCCTAATACCTATACCATCCTATAGCCATCTATAGTCTATGTTCAGTATGTTCATACCAAACTATTTGAGAGTGCAGAATAGAGCAAATCAATTCACCATAACTCACCCATTGGTTGCAGGACATCCTCCTTTAGGGCCTGTCAAAGATTGTCAAAGACTAGAATCTAGAATTCAAAGCTCCAAATTGCAAACAAAAGCCCGGAGAATCATGAGAAGGGTAGAGAGTGGAAACTGATTCACTCTTCAGGAGGTCGCAGAGTCGCAACACAAAACTCTTGGCCGACTCTTTGGCAATTAGAAGAGAAATCGTCTTCAAGACCTGTCTGTGGAGTGCTACGTCATACAGTTTGGAGGTGCTCGGGCAAGGAAGGTCTCACAAAGACCTTCAAAAAGAAAGCTCAATACGTGCTGTCGAAGAGACGTTCCTCACCCGCAACAAGGACCCGGTGAGTGCATCGAACTCGCTGGCCGCAATCTCGAAGTCTTCAGGGTTGCAGTGAGCCTCAGAGCGACTGGCTGAAACATGGGTGACCAGTGCCACAAGGTGGTTTCCACACGGTGCCTCCAAACAGTTCGCTTCCAACAGCTAGAATGAGGGTAGGAATCCCTTGGATCCTCGTGGCTGGGTAGTCAATTGTTTGAGTTTTGTTTGGTTTGTCTTGTTTTGTTTAAAGACCTTGGTCAGTTCGGTCGTCTAAACTGGACAAGAATTGCCCGAGTCATAAGACCAAGAGGCCCGTCGTTGCAAGGCGTCTAGGGGACCTGCTGGAGGCCAGCACCCAGCAGTGTAATACACGGTGTAAGAGAGGCCCATCTCGTTGATGAGCTCTGCTCCAATGTCAGTGACTTGCGTGGCATAATCAAGCCGACACAAGGCTGAGACGCAAACCACGAAAACGGGCATGAGGCCACAAAGACACAAAGGGCAGGTGTTCCAAAGTGTATAGGGAAGCTCCTGGCAAAAGGTCCTGGGCAAGTGGGGTCATTGATATTCCGAACTGTGTCCAATCGTTTTGACATTGAACATGACTGAACCCGCATTTATCCAATTTCAAATGAAGGCCATGCCCAGCACTAAGGAAGGTGACGCTTGGATTGTGTGGCAGTCAGAACCCAGCCTTCCCGCGTTCTATTTTCATCGTTTTCTAGGAAGCTATCCGTCCATTCACCCCATGCCAGCAGCTTCTCCAATGAGGTCTTGACATCTTGTCCTCATCGCCAAATCGATCCCCTCCTCATGAATCACTCGGAATACGCCAAGAGTCTGACATGAATACGAATTCTCTCGGAGCTTCGCCTCCAATCTCCTTCGCGACTCCGGATGCATCGCCACGACCACCGCTCCACCGCTCTGGTGCCTTTGCTCAAAAGCCACCGACCCACCCCCCCGAGCCAAAGCTGCGAGGCCGGTGACGTGTCCGAGTGGAGAGAAAGCAAAACAAGAAACGCCAAATAGGAGCAAAAAGCTAGTAACGAGGGCATCGCTACTAGGAACAAAAAGCATCAAGAAGCTACTAGTAACACAAAGCGATGACGTGGAAGCTGAAGACGTGGCCCAGACTGGGAGAAAACACAAAGATTTGGAGATCAATGATCAAAGACCGACCTGAGGAAGGACTTGCTTTGGTTCATGGCACTTGTACCATCTTGATCCATCTTGTATCTGCAAGTCTCCTATGCAATGAGATGCCCTTAGGTCTCAGATGGTTCCTCATTAGTTTCCTGCGAGGGAAACCTTCAGCGCATCTCAGCAACAATTGATGAATATATAAAGTGTAAAGACTCGAAACCTTCACAAGGCTCGAAACGTCAGACTTGGGTGTTGTATCTCGGTAAGTCATCCAACGTGTAGCCCCCTTCTTGCTCCATCCTCTTCTTCTCTTTCTGCTTCCAAGAAAACTGACAATGACATACAATGACCATTATTAGAGCTTCTACGCTGTGCGGGGAGGGCTTGGTTAAAACCTTGCCCAGCCTGGATGGAGGGTGAAGAATGATATCAGCCACCCTTCAAAAGTGCTGCTGCAACAATCCTTGAGATGGCCAACAATTACAGTAGTGGATCGGACCAAGTTCAACAACCACCACCATACATATCATGTCATTCATGTGTGTTTGCTTTAAACAAGCTTCATCCTGATCTTCTTTATCATCTGACATGATTTAACCAGCACTGGCCCCCCCAAACCGCCCCTGGACTGCATCTCCTCCAAGCGGCGGCGGTTCAGCCCGAAGTCGGCAGCTCCAGAGCGCCGCTCGGCGCGGAACTGGACGATGAGGTCATCTGGAGTGAAGTACCTCTGATGGAGAGATGTCAATGCGAAGAGGATGCCCGGTGGTTTTTTGTGCAAAGCTTCACCTGAAAGAAGTCAAAGCAGAAACAGCATGCAGAGCTGTCAGAGCCGATAGATATGTTTCTCTTCTGGTGATTCCAGTGACGGAACATCCATGCCAAAATCGGAGCGAAAGAAACAAACAAAGTCATGACCAATATGACTTACCACCCAAGTTACCATTCGACATCATCGGCATCCTGACCCAGCAAGGGCACATCGACCACAAACTCTGCTCCTGGGATGTCAAACGATGGACCAAAGATCAACTCTCCCGAAGATGGTTGGGCAGTCCAATGTTTTGAAACATTCGGCACCCATGTTGTGCAGACTTTCAGGCAATTTGTGGAAGATATATACATGAATGTATATGAAGATATTACTAGCTCCAGCTGCCCGCGATCTTGATTCGGCGCTTTCAGGCGGATTTAAAGAAAGTCAACCATCAGAGAAGACACTAGTCACTGACAATTCGGTAGCCATCGAAGTTATTGATGGTTAACACCCTCCGGAAACCAAAAACAGAGGTCAATGCTTGCGCGATGTATTTGATCATGTACTGGCCCTCGACATATATACACAGATTGATAGTAAAGCCCACCAAATTTAAAAACAAGCCTGCCAAGCAGCGCAAATATCTGTGATCGTCACTTTCGGACAAAATATTGCCACCTGCCTGCGAAAGAAGGGCTGCTAGGCAGGGATCCTCTTCTTTCCTAGACTGACATTCTTTAACTTGCTCTATCAAATCTATCAATGAAATTGATGGAGTGACAGGTCTGAGCTAGATGGAGTCGGAGATTGAGTCAGGCCCCGTGAGCAGGAGCAGAAACCGCTGGCATTGGCACTCTATTATATAAGTCTATAAGTCATGGATCTTGCTGATTCCATAAGCCTGGGAAAGAGAACAACTGTGATAAGACTATCATAGAGACTAGAGATTCCAAGAAACGATGCCAACACCCTATTTGAAGGAGGCGGTCTGCATCACCCAAATTGAGTCAGTGACTGGAACAAAACAATGAGCCAAGGCTACTAGTAGCACGAAGCTACTAGTAGCTAGAAGCTATTAGGTTGGAGGCATTCAGTCCATCTTCTGAAATCCACCTGCCTCCATGACCGCTCGCCGTAGTTTGGAGGCCAATGGCTGAATGTCCACCTGTGCGAGTTCTGGAGACCTAGCTACTAGCAGCTTCTTGTTGCTAGATGTTACTAGTAGTAAGGTCCAACCTACTTGCGATGGCCTCCACCTAATAGCATCCTTACTAGCATCCTTGTTACTAGTCCAAAAGGCACTGAGACCAACTTTAAGAATAGCAAGACCGGAGCATGGTTCTGCCATATTCGCAGCAAAGAATGGACAAAGCTTCGCAATGACCATGGGTTTTTGGCCTACTCTTGACCTACGAGTACCAGTGTAAATACTGTATCTTCATTGATGAGAGACTTAGTGAAACAAATTGAACAACATGCGATCGATTGAGATGTGAGCTAAGTCGCACTGATTCCTATTGATCATAATTCCCACAAATAGAAATATCCCCAAATTCGATCCTTCTGGTACACTATTGGTTTCACCCCACGTATTTAGACCTACCGATACGGGAGCAGCTTTGAGAACTGAGACAAACATTGATCACAGAAAAGCATGGTTTGTGTCCACCTCTTTGGCAAACAATACGACCTATTTCACTCATGCTCAAGGTTTGCAGGATTGTGAAATGGAATCTGGGAACCCTAAGTTGCTTGAAGATTAAAACCATCCCCCCTCAAAACGGTTAACCATGAAAAATGGTTCGCATCCCCGACCAGAAAGCATCTCATCGGACCAAGGAAGGCGTCAGGACTGTCAGGGTCTGTGACGGGAGCCAAATGGAGCCGGCCTGCTCACCCCCACGAGGCTCTGGCAGCTGCCACGGTGGCTCGAAGACCTAGGATCGCTCGTGCCACGAAAGATCATGTCCACAGTAATGTTGAACACGAATACCCCCATAATTAACCCTAATATGGAGAGGAGAGGAGTGTGAATAAGTTTGGTGCAGCATCTGTCGAATCCAATCAACGGACCCTTGTACATGGTGGCTCCACTGTCCACCTCTATCCCCCGACGATACTTGCGCAACATCTCTGCACGCCATTTTTCCCCAAGAGTTTGCTACAGCGTTGCATACTTGAAGATTCTGAGATGAGATTGTCAAGTGGACTTGCTCTGATTGCATCGGGTGTCGAAACTGAAGCCGCTTGATCGTGATGTCTTCCAACATGACAGCACCGATTAAAATCTACCGTTAAACATCGAGCTCTGTTTGAAAGGAGGAACGGAGGACCCCCCAAAAATTATATAACGGCACATAACGGTTTCAGAGTTAACTAACTCAAGGAGAAAATCCTCCAAGTCCATCAATACAGTGTGATCCTGTGTTGATGGTCCGAATCTATCCAAATCTCCGTGAACGCCGCCCTGGCTGCGCGCCGCCCTGGCTGCGCCTCGGGTCGATCATCCTGTGAGGCCACACAGCCCGAGAGCGAGCCACTGACGCCACCCCGGCAGCGCGCCAGGAGATCTGGGCGTGATGCCATCGGGAATCGACTGGGAATCGAAGGGAATGTCCGAAGTCTTTGGGAGGGAAGGGTTGAACCGCGTGTACACGTCCCGTGGACGCTGTTTTCATCAGTCTGGTCAGGGCAGTGTGGTCATTGTTGCTCTACTGACACTCCTTTCTCTCTGGACTTTGGAAGTATCCAACAAGCTGGGTTGGCTGATCCTGCCTGGAACTAGACTTTCATCTTCCAATCAAGAACTTCACCGCTGATCTAGCTGACAGCAAAATGACCAAATCAAAATGTTGCCACTTTGGTTCTGGTTGAATCATCAGATCAGCACCTTGGCAATGATTTGTGATGTCAATCAGCTGGTGTGTCTAGAATCTAGAAGATGAGCTGAATGGGGCCACCTGCCAATTAACTTCCAAAAAAACTGTTGCTTGGGAATCCCTTCTCATGATCTCATGAAGACATTTGATCTTGGGGATCTCTCCTCATGAAGAGATTTCGTCTTTGGGCCAAGAAGTTCTTTCCCAAACCTTCCGACCATTTCCGACCTTTTGGGGGAGAGAAGCGACCACGAAGAAGGGGAACAAACAACACAAGCTGATAAGCTGGCTGAAGGTTCGGCCCAAAGCCAAAAGCCGCATCCAGAAATCCAATTTGGGGGAAGACCTGTAGATCACGACTCTATTACACATATATTGTAAATATAATATACTGTATGTATAATACCTATATACTATATATATATATATTTATTTAATTTCTGGCAACTCTCAGTCACTTATTGGATGTTGTCGGATGATCCTGTTGTGTGTCACGTCAAGTCAAACTTTCCACTGCGGACCTGCCAAAGCAGCTGCTGGGTCTCCCTGCCATCCATGACTCCAAGGCATGTGATGCAGCTTCCTTCCTGCAGCTTTGATGGAAGTCTCAACTACAGTAAGCGAGTTGGGGTGTCAAATCGTCATCGAGCAGAACAACAAATAGCCAAATTACATCGGAGAGGGTGGCAGCGGCGGCATATAATATGAATAGCAGTTGTTAGTTATTAACAATTCACTACTAGTATGAAAGACCTAGAATGGCCATCGCAGGGTTTGTTTGGCACACTGCGCAAAAGCTGCATCGATGAAACCGCACGACCGAACCACTCTCTACTTTGCTGGCCCTACCACTACAGAATCCATTACTAGCCAAGTCATATTATGGCTCATGAGCTCATTCACAACCACGAAACCAATGCCCTGGTCATTGCGTAAGCCCTGCAACGGCCGACAGGTGTGCCAAGGTGCACCAAGGTGCACCACAATGTTGGGAAATGAGTACTATAAGATTTGAAAATATAGCTCTTCTCTCCAGCGCACAGAAACAAGTCTTCCAAGAAATCCTCTATTGGAGTTCAATGTTGAGGGAATCACATGTTGTCGTGCCCAATGAGGAAAATACAATATTCTACCACGTGTGAGAATCATTATATAAGTGAATCTTGGTCATGATGTCTAAATCCAGAAAAGACCATGACCAACATCTCACGAACTCACTCGAGGACGGCATAAACTATGGGCATTCCAAGATCCCACCTCTGGTGGCGGTGCCAATGCGAAGACCTCCACTTCCGGCCGTGGGAGACCAGCCAAACAGCCCAGCAAGCTGGGCAGTGCGCGGCGAGGCCACGCCGTTCAGGCCAGCGCAACCGGCAGCGCTGGCAGCGCAGCTGGGGCCAAGGCTAGCGCAGCAGCCAGGCGACCTGTGGAAGTGGCGTGAGCTCGCAGTTGGAAAATGATATGTTTCTTCACGTGGTGGCACCCTTCGGTTCAACAACAATTTAAGTGCTTTAAGGCTTTGTGGCCTCGAGGGGAACTTGGCCTTGCAAAAGCTCAAGCTTTGTCCCTTCATTCTCGTCACAGACCTTCCTGTCAGCTTTGCTTTCTCGTGTGCAGCCCTATGAAGAACGTACTAAGAAAGTATGCTTTGCACATGGTTCGCCTCGCCGACGAGGCCTCATGGCATCAAACGGGTCTAAGTCTAACCAACCCCTGTCATATCAGCTTGCTTGTGTGCTTGCTGTCAGACTTAGTTTGGAGTTGCCAGAGTTCATGTAGGGAGTTAAAATGGACCGAAGTTCAAGGACCCGGTCAGGCGCTGCCATAGAGCACTCGTAGAGGTGCCATTACAATTTGACACAATTGTATATGCAATGGTTTGCCCCCTTGTCATCTCAGTATCTTTGCATTGCTTTGCGGCCAATCATGCAGGTGTGGCTACCCTGATGACCAAGAAGCTTGGTCAGGCAGCTAAGCTTGAAAAGCAAAATTATGCAAACAGAGAGAGTCTTAATATATAATAGAAACAAATCATATGTATCAACAAAAGCTTGGTCTTTTGTAAGTGCTCTCTTTGTTCTATTTTATTCTTAATGATCTCTCTCTCTCTCTCTCATCAGGAGCGCAACATAGTGTGGGGTCGATTGTGGTATGGTGCGGTACATTCTCCCCCTGAAAGACTGACTGAACACGAATTTCGTCCATCATCCGTGTGACGTGGACAATCTGAATGTGTCCTTGTTCCTAGTAGCGATGCCAGGAGCCCCTAGTAGCGTCCTTGCTCCTAGTAGTATGGCCAGGAGCCCCTAGTAGCTTCTTGTTACTACTCCCTAAAAAGGAGAGTTACAAAGGGTGTGACTAATCTTTTGATGCTGTTCCAATATGCATGGCCTCTTTGTTGGGGTTGCTGTCATTCCCAAACTTCCCAATGCTTCCCGAATCTTCCCCGATCCCAAGTTGTCCCTACAGTCTTAATTGCTATCGTTTAATCTGGTCGTACAAGATTGTCACTACATATCCGAATGAAAGCCTACAAAGACCCATGTGTCTCAAGGTGTGGATCATGGGTCATCAAAGGCCGTCCTGCCTGCAACGTGTTGAACTTGGAAAAGGCTGACTGGTCCGGTCACAACAGGATCAGCTGGTTTGTGCAAATTTGTCAGAACGCACTTTATTGGATGAACATCCACAAAGTGTGCTCCTGACTCCTTTTTAACTCATCTTGATTTTGCGCTAAAGAAATCATCTCCTTGGTACGGCTTTCACAAACTGGAACAGGCACTTGCAGTTAAACCCAAAGAACAATGCACCGGCACTCAAACTGTCCAATGCATTTGTAGATAAACACGACCATGGAACAAGCAACATCAAGTTGACAACGAGCTACGTAATTACTCTCAACTACAAGACACAAAAAGCCATTGGACAAGCAAAGCACAGCACTTGAGTCACTTGAGTTTCCCTGATTGAGCTCCAAAGTGTGCATCCAAAGCTCTATCGCGGCTGCTTTCTGGTCGGAGGTCCACCGTCAACGAGACGTTCGCGCGTGCCAGGCGCGACTGCCAACTTTGGCGTTTGTCACTGGGACGACCCCCCAACCAATGTTGTCTTCCCTGATCATCTCTCCAGAAGTTTTTGAGGAATACTTACAAACACATCCATGATCTGGGCAACGGCATGGTCGATATGCTTGTCTGCCTTTCGGCGATTTCTTCGGCCGAAAGCTCAATTGATGGAATTGCCATTGTTGTGGACATTGGGATAGGAGCGCTGTTTGCATCCTCGAGAGCGCACTGAATATTTTGACTGAATATTTTGAGGGTGCCTTCCTGGTAGTTGAGAACCAGCCCAGTCAGTCGCCTCTTTGAGCAGATTGATAATTAGGATTTGTGCATACCGAGGGAACTCTGTAGGATTGTGTAGGATCGTAAAGGCCGATCGCACCTTGACATCCTGGGCAAACTCCGCCCACTCGTCGTAAGTGACCTCACAATGAGAAACAGTCGAAACGCCAGGAATCACAACCATGGACTTTTGCCTCATCAGACTCTCACGATAAATGATCTGTGCACAGGGCTATGATACAAACAGCAGGGAAGGGTTAGAAGGCTCAAGTACCAACGTGTAAATTGACTAAAAATAGACCTGACCCCACCTGACACAAAGCAAACAAGACTGTCAAGTACTGTCCGTCAATTCACTCTTCCTGTACCAAACTCAGCCTTCCCACGCTGCGGCCAGGGCCAACCGCGCGTTCTCGCATGCGGTCCTGCACTTTCTGGAGACTTCATGACACATCTATTGTGAAAAACAAGGTGAAAACACCAAGTTCAGGAACCCGTGCGCTCG